AAACGATGTCAGATGAGAACCACTGGACTAAAGCAATGTGGGATAATTTTGTCTGTAAAGCTGAAAAAGATGTAAAGGAATCTCGATTCTCGTTAACATATGTTCAGATACGATCTCTTTGTTTTTCTCTCTCTTCTGTCTCTCTTTTTGTTGCTTCACCTGGAAGATAGTAACACTGAACTAGAGAATAGTACTGAACATCAACCTGTGTTCTTCATATGTTTAAGGTTCCCACAAATGTGATTCAAATTTTTAATATTCTTTAAGTAATACTAAAAGTGTAAAAGCAAAAAGTTTAGAAGTTTCTGCTCAACTCTGATATGTACCAAATACTGACATTTTGTAAACACTCACTTATGCCATCATTTTTGTGCTGACTTGAGAAATTAGGCTTCTTCTCCTGATAACTCTGTGCATGTGATACAACTTCTTATAAACATGTAACTGAAAAGAAAGGGTAACATTCTATATTTGGCTTTTTTATAAAGACAGGTGCATGTAGGCCCAATTATATACACTTGCACTGATCAGCTCAGTACGAAGCACATGAGACCTGGCTAAACTCAATGGCAGTTAATTCTCAGGGATCTGTGCTCTTTGCCACCTAACTGTTAGCTGAAATTAAGAATTTTCTTCACTCTTTTTCTATTAATAATATTAAAATATAATTGGTGTGCTTATTTGTCAGCTTTGAGAATTTTCTGTTATGACTGACCAGGCATGAGAGAAGTTATTGAATCTTGAAATCGAATACAAAAATCTCCTACTTCCATTTCAAACTTCTCTGTTTGTTTAAGTCTACAGTGCCTCGAGGGTGCCAAAGGTCCTATGAGAATGATTTCCATTTGCTTTCATTTATCTATGTGGATTCCTATTTTTCAATATTGTGTAACTGGAAAAATAAGAAATAAACTGGATACTGAAACTGATGGAAAGCTACAATTGTCTGCCATAACAACCACGGTTAACATGTATTCACCAAAACGAGCTCACTGTTTTCAAGGATTGATTTCATATGCATATAGTTTAAACTTGAACTTGTAAAGTAAACTGATTCTAATGAAGCACCCACTTACCTGTTTTTTGATATTAGAGGACTACTTAAGTTTAATGTGAAAAGTTGTTCCACTTTTAAAAGTATTTGAAATTCACATCTTTAGACTGAAAAAGTTCTAAGTTTCTATTATTTCTGTGCCAGGAGTTTATAAACTCTGAAAGGCATTTGAAGAACAAAAATGGTTTTCTAAGATCTTGGTTCTTATATAACTATTTTATTAAAATAACTATCAAGCCATTCATCTGAAATTTTGTGTTGTTGTTTTAAAAAAAAATGGTAAGGAGTACAGATATTGCATTTTTATTCAATCCAGGGTAATGGGTTTTGGGGCATGACTGATACCAGATGGACCAGTGACTTAGGTTATCTTCTCCTTTGCCACAACCTGTAAATACTGACTGTGTGTTCAGAACTTAACTCCCAATTGTAAATAGATGCCAAAATAAACCATTGTCACATGTTATATTTATAAAAGCTCTAGCCTATAGCCAAGGATGGTGAGAATTATTTTTCTGCAGGTGTCTTAGCAAGTACAGATGGTGAAATCTACAACTTGCTCCTTACCACTTTCTTTCAAGGGAAACACACCCTAGTGAAGTTTTCACTTTAAGACGTCCTTTAGGAATTGAGTAAGTTGAAACCGCCTGAGGGAATGGATTATTGAATGTTTTCTTCACAAGATATTAAAAACAAAAAGAGGGAGTCCTTTCAAGACGCTGCAGTAAACAGTTTTGGTCTCTTAATGGAACACCTATTTGCAGCTGTTATCCCTTGCTTTCCTGCAAAAGACACAGGAAAATAAAGAATAGAAGCAGTACAAAAATAGACATATGTGTATGACACGAGGAAATCACTGTGAGCTGCCTGGAAAATAATGTAGGTCCCATTGTGTGCAATGGTTTAGTGTCTAGGCTTTAGAATTAGACAGATCTGATTTTGGATTCTAGATTTGTTTCTGCTAAACAAGAATAGTGTTATCTGCTTTCTCTGCTGAGTTGTTAATATATGATTGCTAAATTTTTTGAATTTCCTCATTTACCCATACACTCACCAATACCATCGGTGTTATTACTGCCATTTTACAGATGGTGAATCTGAACGAGCCTCAGAGAGGCTGCCTAACATCACAAAACTAGTTAATGGAAAATCTCGGTTAAAGGTTAGCTTTGTTACTTTCCCTTTCCCAAGACTTAAGCAAAGAAAGAGGAAAACAATTGGAAGAACAAAGCACAAAAAGTTTTATGGTGCAAGCCCCCATTCTGGGGGCACATCCAGCTGTCTGGTACCCTCCCTCCCCACTTCACCTCAACATTTTATTTTAAGGCTTGATCTTTTACCTGTTTAATGTACCTCTACTCAAATAATCCCTTTCTAGCATTGCTTTCACTAATTAATTTATTTTAAAAGGCACCACCACCATCGAAGCTTTCCAAATGCTCCATTCCCAAAACCTTAATCAGTTTTAGTGTTTTTTCCCACAGGAATTTTCACTCCACAGGGAAAAAAATATTTTGTGCCATTTTACTAACACCTAGAACAGTTCCTTCACCGTTGTTGGTGTGCAATCAATATTTGCAGAATCAACTCTGAGTTCTAAGAATAGTGTGTTCTCGCTATCTCAGAGATCATGCTCATATAAACCATTCAGAATCAACACAGCTAATCGGAGTGCTTTCATTCTACTTAAAAAGAGAATGGGAAGAGTCACGTGGAAGCTGTTTAGTGGGTACAGTATCCCTGGAAAGAAAGAGGTAAGCTGGAGACTGCTTTACTCCCTTAAAGCCAACAGAGTAAAACCTTTAAGAGAATCACTTGTAAAGATTAGTTGTACTTGTAAGAATTAAGGACCAAAGACTGGTATTTGGCTCCTATGTTGTTTATCTATTTAGCCAACAGCCCTTCTGATGTGTCCCTGTAAAATCTATGGAACCCGAGACAAGTGGGGAGACATGCTGGGGCTGACAGGGTGGCAGAGCTGAGCCGCCGTGAGGAAGATGATTGGCCACCAACACTGGCTGGGAAATTGTAGGCAGGCGTGGGAATTCAGTGTAGTAGTGCTGAGTTCCAAAATGCAGGGAAACTTACGATGGGAGGGGGCCTACAGAGCCTCTCTGAACCACCCATGCACGTACCATCAAAGAGCTGGCATTTGGGCATTTCTGCCAGGAAGGAAACTGAGTACCAGGGATGATCAAGCAGGAGAGAGCTGTCACTTGAACTTGTTTAGTAAAGAAACGTTTGCATTTTACATTGTTCCTTCTCCACGTCACAATCAATGGAGGAGCCAGAGATTAGAAGAGGGAGTAAAGTCTGTTTTACAGCCCAAGGATCCCTTCTTTCCTCCATTCCAAACAGCAAGGACTTCCACTTTAGGCTTTAGTTGGGGGAGAGAAGGAAATAAAACTTTAGAGATTGAGACTGAAATTAAAAACAAAACACATTTAAATAAGAGGGGTGGGTCTTAATCATCATACTGAGATTTGCGAATTCAATTCAGATGTCATTATAAAGCCACCAAGTGTTGCTTTACTAAGGATAGTTGTGATAATGATGGCTATTAGAAGAAATAGACCCTCAATATTTAAAAACTACTGAGTTTAATATTATAGCTACAATGAGATCAACATATTAGTTAGACACCATCTCTCTCAGTAATAAAACAGTTCCTTGCATCTTTGGCAGATATTTTGTTTTGTTTTGTTTTGTTTTGTTTGTCTTTCAAAGGAGATCTAAAATCACAGCCTGAAACATTGGTTAGAGGTCCGGTCTATTTTATCTCCTTAAAAAGAGAGTAGCATGATCAACACTAGAAATAACTAAGAATTTGTTTTCAATAAACCAGGCTATCACTGTAAAAAAAAAAAAAAAGAGAGAGAGAGAGTGGCCATTTTAATGTTGACGGATAAAAGAAGTTATTTCTTTGTTAGTATGCCTTAGAGGATATAACAAATCGAAAAAAAATCGAATAAAAAATTCAAATACAAGTTGATTCTTCTATGAGCCATGTTGCATTTTAAGATCTGTTATAACTATATTGATGATTTGTATAGATGCAGAAAGACAATTTTATGGGGTATCTCAGTAAATTTTTCTTGAATGAAAGACAGTTCTCCATACCTTTGCATTCTTAATAAAGCAAGAACTGCTTTAATTGAAGAAAAAGAAAAACAAAAAAAGCATTGATTTTAGGCTTTATGTTGTCCTATGATTAACATTACTGCCTGCGGTCTCTTTGTCTGCCACTGAGGTTGCTTAAGCCATCAGAATTAGCCCAGAACACCTGGACAGCATGAGGAATGGCCATCCCATCACATTTAAAATGTTTTTTAAAATACAGCAATCATTTAAATGGACACTTTACCCAAAGAATAATTTTAATGCATTAAAAAATAAAATGGGTAGGGAGGAGGAAGTTCTGAGTAGTGGTAAGTGGAATGAACTTTTTCTCTTGCATTTATGTGTAACTATCTGACATTTCAGTTTTGAAGTTTCAAAGTGCATGCCTTCTTTCTAACCAAATACTGTTTCTGTTTGAAACAGTAGTGATAATTTCAAAGTTATAAAGTTATTCTTTCATGATGGACATCTTATAATCAATGTGTAGTTAATAATAATATTTTATACTTGGCAATATTTATCATAAATCATCAAAGTGGTTTAAAGACTTACTTATAACATTGAGGGGCAATGGTTGGCATTATAATTCTTTTTTCTTTAACCTGTGGGGAAAAAATTGAAGTTGAAAGATGTTAAATCTTTTTTAGCTTCACAGAAGAAAGGTGGCACGTAAATACAAATTATCAGTGAGTGATTTATTTTTAATTCACAAAATGAATCAGTAGGGAACAGCTGTTAATAGAAATAAAATATTTGACTCAACTCTCCTTACTTTTACAAAATGAGTTGTTCATAGTTATTTCTTTAGTGGCAGGGGTGGTGACAGTGGGAGAGTTGTTCCAATTTGGCAAAGTCAACACTCATAAAAGAAAACATCAACTTCTTTCTCTTCATTTCAATGAGACATCAGTTTCTCAAAGAAACTCAGAGTATTTAGAAAATTTAAATTAGGTTAAATGTTACAGATTTAGTTTCTTTATTCATAATACTAATTTTATAATAGTAAATTTGCATGTTTTAATAAACACATTGCTAAGTTCTAAATTTAATTAGTATTGAGTATAATTAGAATGGGCCTTTTAAAATATATTTATAGGTCATTTTATCCCAACTATCTCCCATTTTGCTAGAAATCATACATTTTGAACCCTTCATTAAGCTTTTGAAGTTTTATTTATTTTTCTAGATTTTTACATTTCAGTAGAATTATACCAAGAATATATTTGATAATAAAAGCTAGAGTTAATTCTCAAATTAGGTGAATTATTGTCATCTAAAGTTGACAAAGGGAAAGAGACTTGTGGGGACATCAGTGAAACTTGAAATGGTGGAAGGGTTCTGAAAGGGAAAAAAGTACATTTCTGTGACAAATTTGCCTAAACTCAATTGTAGACTCTAAAGGACATCAGACAATCTTTCTTATTCCCTACTCTGTTTGTAGCAATTAGTAAAATATCTGTCACCAAATAAATATTTGTTGTGTAAACTACAAGTGAATTCATACATACACTTTGCAATCAGGTCAGTCTCAGTATATGATTTCTTCCTCTAAGTTGTTTATTAAGTCCACAGGGGAATTAAATTTAGTTTAGCATCTAGCTTTATAACTATGTTGAAGTAATCTAATAATGCTAGAACTCAGTTTCTTTATGTCTAACTCTTAATATTCAGAATCTTTGATTCACAAAGAAGATATTAGCACTCCTGTTTGTAAAGCACACATAGTTCAAATACACATGAAACTTATAGACACTGTAATGTATTCATAGCAGGTTTACTCTTTGGTTAATCTATTTAGAACTCTAGAATATAGGAGAATAGACAATGCTATTTCCATTTTTAAAAAAATTAGATACAGTGAAATTGAAAAACATGTTGATTCAGAAAACTTTTTATTTCTTATTTTTAGTTTACATTTTGAGATTGAAATTTGTAGTAATACATTTCACAAATTTCCATTTAGTGACAAGGAATTTAAAATTAGTGCAAGGAGCAGATAAAGTTACCAAATCTAGAAAACATTATAGGGAATGGATACCCCAAACAGAAAACAGTTCAAGGAATAGAGGCAATTAACATTTACTGCATGAGTATAGTATTTAAGAAGGCTTCACTAACAGGAATAATTAGGTATGTGATGGATCCAACATACTTCCATGAATCAAAATGAGCATCAGAGATTCTACTGTTACAAATAGAATAAATTCCAAAAATAATATTCAATCTTATTTATCCAGAGTTTCTAAAAATTAGTTATTCCATACAATGAATATTCAGTATAACTGAAGAAATTCATTTAAAGGACTAAGGAAACTGTTTTGTAGTAGGTAGAATAATGTTCCCACCCAACTTCATTGACTCCAAAGTAGAGATCCTAATCCATGGACCTGCGAATCTGTTATGGTACATAATGGAAGGGACCTTCAAGATGCTACTAAACTTAAGGACATTGAGAAGAGAAAAACTATAATGGATTATCTGGGAGGGACCAACCTACTCACATGAGTTCTTAAGAGAGAACTCATTTCTGGATGTAGTCAAAGGAAAAGATGTGACTATAGAAAAAAGGTTAGGGGCTTACAGTGTTGCTGGTTTGAAGATGCACGATGAGCTCCATGAGTCAAGGAATGCAGGCTGGCTCTAGAAAAAGGAAAAGACGAGAAAACAAACTGTCCCCTAGGGCCCACAGAAAGGAACACAGAACATCTTGATCTTAGCCTGGAAAGATCTGTATCAGATCTCTGACCTACCAAATGGTAAAGTAATAAATTTGTGTTTTTCTAAGCCACTAAGTTTGTGGTACTTTGTTACAGCTGCAACAGAAATTTAACACAAATTCCAAAATGGACTGCATAAGTTCTTGCTAGTTATTGATCATTGTTTAATCATTTTGTCAAAGATTCAAGGTCTAATCCATGCTTAGTAATTAAAGCACTAAATAAAAATGTAAGAACAGTTTTTTTTTCCTTATAGTTGGTGATACTAGATGGTATCCCTTATGAAATTAAAAAAAAAGGGGAAAACTTTCATAGTATTTCCTGCTATTTGTTAAACTAAGTACTTGTCAAATGCTACATCATTAAGTGCCATAATGGTATTATGGTTTTCCATTAAACAAATGAGAAAAATAAGTCTTGAAACATTAAGGCCAATTCCCAATCTCCAGAAGATTATTTGTGATACAATTTATATTCTAAGGCAGGTTTCAAACTTACCACCTCATGGCTCTGTAATAATTGCCATTCTGAATGTATTTCTTGAATTCCTTCCTCCCCACTCAATTTGCTGCTTCTAATCATCTATGGAACAGGGGAATCAGAAGAACTAATTTTCTTAGAGTTGGATATGAAAATAGAAGAGTGATAATGAGGACATGAAGGTCAATCTGAGAATGAAATTCATGAGCTTCAGTGGATGAACTTTTTATATCCATATGCATGATATGAGGACTATGCCAGTTCTTAGACTTACGTGCACTATTGCACTATTACTAGTGCACCTGTAATGGCAGAGACAAGTCTGCTGAATAGGCTAAAGGTATGGTGTAATGGGCTTCATGATTTTTCCCCTCTAGATGCATATGTTGAAATCCTAACTTTCAATATGATGGTATGAGGAGGTGGGGCCTTTGGGAGATATTTAGAATGGAGCCCTCATGAATGGGATTAGTGCCCTTGTAAGAAGAAACGTAAGACCTTGCTCTCTTTCTCTCTGATCTCTGCTGTGAAGACACAACAAGAAGACTCATCTGCAAATCAGGAAGAGTGCCCTCACCAGACATAACATATGTCAGCTCCTTAATCTTGGACTTCCCAGACATCAGAATTGTAAGAAATGAATATTTGTTGTTTAAGCCACCCAGTCTTTGGTATTTTTGTTACAGAAGCCCAAACTGACTAAGATAGTCATCAAGCTCAAGATAGAGTGTGTATTAATAAAGCCGTGCACATTGCCTGGTTGTAGCCAAAGGTTGTTTAGTTTCTTAAGGTTGTCATAACAAGGTACCATAAGCTGGGAAACTTAAAACAACAGAAATTTATTGTATCACATTTCTGCAGGCTAGAAGTCCAATATCAAGGTACTGGCTAACCACACTTCTGAAACCTGTAGGGAAGAATCCTTCCTTGCCTCTTCCACCTTCTTGTGGCCCCCGTTTTTCTACTTCTTGTGGCAGTGTAACTCCAATCTCTGCCTCCATCTTCACATGGCCATCTTCCCTGTGTGTGCGTGTTTCCACACAGCATTCTCCTCTCTGTGTATATTTGTGCCCAGTTATGCCTCTTCTTATGAGGACACTTGCCATAGTGGATTAGGGCCCACTCTGATGGTCATATCTTAACTTGATTACATCTGCAAAAAGCTTAGTTTTGAATAAGATCACATGCACAAGTATGAAAGTTAGGACTTCAACATACCATCTTGGGGGACACAATTCAATCCACAGAAAGAGTGATGGACAAGTTCCAGGGAAAACTGAGAAGAAATATTCTTAATGTACAACAGATTCCAAATGACCAATTCCTGAGCAAGAGTTTTGGAAAAGGAATTCCAAAAGAAACCCTTTGGATGGTGTTTGGATATGGTGCTCACCATGGCTCCTAGATTCCTGATGGTAGATGTCTGAATGAAAACTTTGGCAGCTCATTTGTATTTTGTATTTTGATGCTGTCCTAGTTTTTGATAGTTGGTTTCATGATCTCTAGATAAGTGAGAATGACATGTATTTCACTATAACAATAAGAGAAGGATGAGTACACATTGAACTCAGCTCTAAAAAGAACTTCACAGTTTTAAGGGCTGAGGTTATAATTAGAAAAAGAAGGATGGTCACAGGTGAAAAACAGGAAGAGTGTATGTATCTTAAGCAAAAAATAAACTCTAAGCAGAGTGAAAGGACCAGAGGCAGACATAAAAAATGAAGCTTAGGCAAAAACTGTAAGTAAAATCCTACTTTTTAACTTCAACAATAAATTCATAGATTTTTCACAGAGCACAAATTGTATCTAAGATAATCAGGTATTTAACTACATGATTATGAAAACATCACTCTGAATTCTTAGGCCATTATCTCAGCATGAAATATAATCCCAGAAAGCTATCAAGAATTTATGTACATTTGTCATCTTCAAATCAATAATGATTTCCTAGTGGGTTTTATTTTTTATCAATAAAAGGTGTGTGAAAAAAATCATGGGAGTAAATAAATTCAGAAAAAGAGAAATAAGTGAGTAAGATTTTATGTGTAAACCTTGATCAATATTTAGAATACAAAGGAAGTGATACACAAAAGAATTATTTTGTGATTTTATTTGTAATCCTTAAACAAACAAGTCTAACAAGTATATTTTTTCTGTAGAGAAACCTCTCAGAAAATAATCAGAATGTTGGCCTCTGGAAAATTCTAAATATTTTTTTCACCTATGAAATTTGCTTCTACAATTAAACATGAGAATTTAGGAGTTACTTATTTCTACATGCTACTAACTATGCACTTGCAAATTCGTTGTTCCCAAATTGCACTATCCTTATCAGAAATTTGGAAATTTACAAATTTCCTTTCATATACAGTTTCATAAGATTCAGTAAATCTTGTATTTTCTATTTAGCATAGTAGTTAAAAGCTTAGTAACCAAAGTCAGACTGCAGAGTTTCCATTTGACTTCAGAACCTGTGTTTTCCTGCTATGGAAGAGGATAACAACGTTGCTGAACTCACAGGACCCTGGTAAGGACTCAATGAGGTAATACATACGAGGCATGTGTACCAGTGCTTATCATATAATCAGCAGAAAATAAATGTCACATATTAAAATTATTGTTAAATACATTTTCAGAATCAATCAAAACTTCAGTTTTAGAATTTATGTTTGAGAAAAACAAAATAAATAAGAGACCAACAGAAGGAAGGCAAAAATAGATGGAAGAGAATGAGAAAGATTTTTGCAATGGACCATGGTTACTTCCATCATGAGCAACAGCTCTTGCTTCCTCTGGAATACCCTCATGTGATACACGTACTTGAATAGACACAGCCCTACAAACAAAACACTTTTTAAAATAACTCTTGTTGGCTTATTTTACTCCATAAATGTAGTACATAGTAATATTTCTTAAAACTCGTCTTTTTCTCTATCATCTATTTCCTGCACCTGCAACAGCTATACATACACCTCTTTCTTCAAAAACGATCTCACAACATCCTTACTCATATAGTTGAATAGCTCGAGTCCTGCTTTTATCACGATAAGAAATTAGCTGGCAATAAACAAATCCCCTAGAGGTCAGGGGAGTGGAAGAAACCCAACTGGCTGAGCCAGAAGTCCCTTTATTCCACAGTGAAAACAGAAGATAGACTGAAAACATTACTCATTTTATTCATACTGCATTCAAAAAAAGTTTAGAGTGAGGAAGTAAGTGTTTAGGTTGCTGTGTTAATTGGTCTAACTAGATAACGGAAACTTCCTGAACACAGAGAATTGGTTCTACAAGTGACAGAAAAGATACAGATCTAAATTAGGAGAGTGGAACAGCCCAGAAATCAGCAATATCAAGTAGCTGCTATCACCTCTCTGCTGGAGACACAAGAGAGGAAGGTTATCTTGTGGGGGGAGGGGGAATCTGGACCCAGGGTAGACGGAGGAGGTAGAATACATAGTGAGTTTACCTGGGAGAAGTTGCATCCACAGAGGAAAGAGAACCACTCCCTCATAATCCAAGATAAAATAAATTCCATCTATTCATTTCCTGCCCTTGGCTATCTCCCAACAACACCTTCCAAGAGTCATAGCCGGACGTCAGCTGATTAGAATCCTTAGAAAATATGGCACCAGTCACCCCATGATGCATGGCAGAGTAAAGAAAAGAACAAGGGTAGATGCAGAGATTCAAGGACAATCAAATGCTGGAAAAGCACAGTAAATGTTAAGGAGATTGATCATGTGGGTTGAGGAAAAAAAACAATTAAACTATATTATACCAAAATCTTGGATTGAAGGATGGATGAATGGATGGATAGATTAGAGGAGAGAGAGAGAACAGGGCAAGAACGGAAAGAGAAGAGAGAGAAACAACAAACCCAAATCTATCTTGGGTGATAACTAGCAACCATCAATGTAAGGTTCAAGGAGGAGTTTATTTGCTTTGATGCGGGTTTGGTGACTGTAACTGTTATGTTAATTTATAAATGATAAATATCCATTCATTTCATGACATTTGTGTTTTTACCATTACTTCCTGAAAATTTTTTGATAAAGAATATTAAGCAGCATAACACTTTTCACCCCATTTTGGGATGACTTTAGAATTATAGCTATTCTTTCAAGTTTTGTAATGTCTTCTTTTGCAAAAATTGTGGTGTCTTTAAAAATGAACAGTAGCATCGGCTGCAGATCTTTGGCTCACTTTTAGTTAAAGACCCAATTTGTAATCTATGTTGTTTCATTACAGTGAATGATGTGTATTCTTTGTTTACTTGTGGAAGAACATATTCCTGCTTCTCAGTTATTCATTGGACAGCCAGCCCCATTTCCCTTCACACATACATTGTTTATTTATAGCTTTGAAAAGGATTTTTACAAACTGGACATTGTCATTATCTTTTCTCATAAAGGAACTAGGAAGCCAGCTCAGTATCTCTGCTCT